TCCATGGCCACAGGTGTATAAATTCAAGCACCTAGGCATGCAGACTGTTTTTACAAACATTTGTGAAAGAATGGGTCGCTCTCAGGAGCTCAGTGAATTCCAGCGTGGAACTGTGATAGGATGCCACCTGTGCAACAAATCCAGTCGTGAAATTTCCTCGCTCCTAAATATTCCACAGTCAACTGTCAGCTGTATTATAAGAAAATGGAAGTGTTTGGGAACGACAGCAACTCAGCCACGAAGTGGTAGGCCACGTAAACTGACGGAGCGGGGTCAGCGGATGCTGACGCGCATAGTGCGAAGAGGTCGCCAACTTTCTGCAGAGTCAATCACTACAGACCTCCAAACTTCATGTGGCCTTCAGATTAGCTCAAGAACAGTGCGCAGAGAGCTTCATGGAATGGGTTTCCATGGTCGAGCAGCTGCATCCAAGCCATACATCACCAAGTGCAATGCAAAGCGTCGGATGCGGTGGTGTAAAGCACGCCGCCACTGGACTCTAGAGCAGTGGAGACGCGTTCTCTGGAGTGACGAATCGCGCTTCTCCATCTGGCAATCTGATGGACGGGTCTGGGTTTGGCGGTTGCCAGGAGAACGGTACTTGTCTGACTGCATTGTGCCAAGTGTAAAGTTTGGTGGAGGGGGGATTATGGTGTGGGGTTGTTTTTCAGGAGCTGGGCTTGGCCCCTTAGTTCCAGTGAAAGGAACTCTGAATGCTTCAGCATACCAAGACATTTTGGACAATTCCATGCTCCCAACTTTGTGGGAACAGTTTGGAGCTGGCCCCTTCCTCTTCCAACATGACTGTGCACCAGTGCACAAAGCAAGGTCCATAAAGACATGGATGACAGAGTCTGGTGTGGATGAACTTGATTGGCCTGCACAGAGTCCTGACCTCAACCCGATAGAACACCTTTGGGATGAATTAGAGCGGAGACTGAGAGCCAGGCCTTCTCGTCCAACATCAGTGTGCGACCTCACAAATGCGCTTCTGGAAGAATGGTCAAAAATTCCCATAAACACACTCCTAAACCTTGTGGACAGCCTTCCCAGAAGAGTTGAAGCTGTTCTAGCTGCAAAGGGTGGACCGACGTCATATTGAACCCTATGGATTAGGAACGGGATGTCACTTAAGCTCATATGTGAGTCAAGGCAGGTGAGCAAATACTTTTGGCAATATAGTGTATATATATATATATATATATATATATATATATATATATATATATATATATATATATATATATATATATATATATATATATATATATATATATATATAAAATTTTATGTGCAATTTAGCACCTGTTATTCTGAATCCTTAAGGATCAGGCCCTTTAATTTCAAAGTAGCATGGAGTGGAAATACAGTCCAAGTCCAAAGTCCACAAAGACAAAACAATAACTGTACTCATCATTCTATGGTTCTAGGATGAAAAAAGCAGGACAAAATTTTAACTTAGGCTGCTGATGGCGAGAAAAGTATCAACAGATGTAACAATAGAAGTAAAGAAAAGAAAAATAAACCATGAAAACAAACAAGAAAGAAAAGAAATTAAATTTAAAAAAGAAAAGTGATTAAAATTAGATAAAATGGGATAAAATACAGAAAAAATTTACTGAATGATAGAGGTTTGAATAAAAAAAGACGATATTTCATCTTGTATCCCTAAAGCTATTATTAATGAATGTAATGGACCACGTTAGGCTTGCTTTCTCTATTTAGAACATTGATTTACACCTCACTGCCTTACAGTGTAAGAAAGCAATCAATCTTGCTCCTAATTCCTTTTATTCCTTTTTATAGATATTACATTACTACCTTACTAAATATAACTTCTTCCCCTCTGTCTTTGTCAGCCAAATAAGTTGGGCTTCGTATAAGGTATTCTTACCATGGAAGACTATCAGAAATGATTAATTGCAATTAATGAATGATGTTAATTTTCCTGATCAATCAGGAGGAGGCAGCAAAGGAACAAAGGGAAAATGAGGATAATAAGAATTTAATTTGGTATTAGCCAGAAGTCAATCTGTACATAAACTCTGGAGAATCTGAAAGGTGCTTTCCTATATATCTGATGTTGCAGCAACATGATGCAACAGCTGGAAGGTAAACTTTGTGTTTACATAATCTTGTCTAAAATAGCAAAGACAAAAGGCAAAAAAGTGATGAGAAGCGGAGAGACATCCACATGAGATGCCACTGGGAAAAGCACATGCCTGCCTGCTTGTCTGTCAGTCTGTCTGCTTAGCCTTGAAAATCCCATCTCTCAGAGCCAGACGACCACAGAACTGATGCCCACGCTGTATGTGCATGCACACAGACGCGCGCACATGTGAACACACACATACTGTACAGTTGCCTGTTCTATCCTACGCTATCGATCTGCACCCCACTCTTCATTAGAAAGACAGATTCAAAGGCAACAAGAAGCAGTGAGATGTGCTGAGAGAGTATGTGTTTCCTTTGTCTGCACACATGCAGCATGTGTGAGGGTGTGTGTGTGCTCCAAAGTGTAAATTCATAGTCGAGGGAGTTGTGTAAGCTTTTTGGTTACATCCTTTATATGCCTGTGTTCTTAATAAAGTTTTTCCTGTTCTCCCCAGTGTGTACATGTGCTCAGGCTGCAGAGCTGTGGCTCTATGTGGATGCATTGGCAGGTATTAGTAACATTGGGAGAAGATCTGTGTTAATCAAATGCAGTCTGTCCTTGCTGGGTGTTCCTATGGAAACTATCAGACTCGCTCAGTATATTATTAGACATTCTCAAGTCTTCCGCTCAGAATAGGAAAACACAGATCTTATGTGTTGCAATGTATCCATTATAATGAGCTTCCAACACCTGTACGATATGGTCTTATAGTTTCCCCCTCAGTGCTTAGTTGTAAACTACTCAAACAACTTTCAAAATTATTCTCAAGAATTGCAGTTATAAATAAAAATGCAGATGGACCTATATATATATATATATATATATATATATATATATATATATATATATATATATATATATATATATATATATATATATATATATATATATATATATATAGTACATTGAGATACTTATGTCTTAATCTGGAGACAACTAAAAAAATTATTAAAGACTAAATTTTTGACACAAGAAAACCTTTGCACCCCTCCATATTCAAATTAAATACATACAAACTGTCATGTGTTTTTTTTTGTCCAATTGTCATATAATTTTTAACTTTTAACATGTTGCAAAAAAGAAGAAAACAAAAAAATGCTAATTACAAGTGTTTCTGTCTGTTGGTCCGTAGCAAATTAACCAGGCTTTACAATGCATAATTCTCCAGAAGTTGTCTTTAAGCATGGCTGCAATAACAGGAAGTTGACGGACGCATCTAAGAAATATTGAGAGAGCAGTTTTAATTGTTAAGTCACGTCAACTACTAGAAATGTAGATCTAGTTCATTTCTGTCATGGTAGTACCTGAGAATATGCCAATGGTGAAAACAGCTGATTAGCATTCAGTGAAACTAAGAAAGTTAGAAAATTATGCCATTTTCAACCACTCCTTTTATGTTAAAATCTGCATAAAAACTATGGAAATACAGCCATTTTAATTGTTGCATGTAAAAAAAAGGGAGTAGTTTTTCGATATAATATATAGCTCTCTTCATGTGAAATATGTAGCTGTCAATAGGCAACACAGAGAAAAGCAAAGGACAATTTTACTTTTCCCAGCGATGAACTACGCAGAAGATATAGAAAGACACAATACTGTTATAAAAAGCAGTTTTTTGCTCCATACTATAAAAAGGAAGGATAAGAACAAATCATGTGGGAAGAGGACACAACACAGTCCCATGTCATGACTTAATTTAAGACAACTTGTACATTAAGACAACATGTATTTTTAGTTACTGTGTTCTATGAACATCTAAAACATCTTAATCATTTACAGTAACTGTAAACTTCAGTATCATATAATTTCTACATTCTTGTTTAAACCGTGCGACAGACAATATTTGACCAATACATGACCAATGTTTTCCATTGACTTCTTTGTCAGGTCCAGGCTGACTTCAATATGCTCTTATTAACCTACACAATTCTTTATAGAATAGTGCCTCCTTCATGTGATCTTGCACATGTAAACATGCATGTATTTTCTTGCGTCCTCTTATCTCAGGGCAGAGGGCCTTGTGAATGTGCCTAATGTCAGGATACAGACCCTTGGTGAGTGACCTTCTTCGCTTTGGGTACCTCAGCTTTGGAACAATCTTCCTCTAACTGTCACACTGGCATATCCTTTAGATGTTTTTATAGCTTAGCTTAAGACCTGTTTTCCCTTTGTTATGTTTTGTGAGTTATATTTAACCTTTTGCCTGTTTTAGCTGGCTGTGCAGAACTTTGATTGGAATGTGCCAACTGGATTTGTTTAGTTCACTGTCACACCATCCTGTTAGGACATCCCATGTCACAACAAGTTGCCTATTAGGAGCAGCAGCCTAGGCACCAATCTAACCAGCCTGTTGCTTTGTTTATGTGAGGAGTGCAGCAGACCTGAGAGACCAGCAACATGCAGCTATAGTTAAAATGACACCAAGGGAGGTTTTGCAAGGATTTCAGGTTTTAAAAAGTCTATACCTGTCCAGCAAATGACATATAAGGGAAGCCAACTTGACAAAAAAAGGAATCTTTGACATCATACTAATTTGTAATTTGTTTACTGAAAAAATATTTCCTTGTTAAGTATAGTCAGGTTTTTAGCCATTTAAATGTTGTGGTGCTTTAGTTTCTAGTTAGAACAACCCAGTAATATATTTGGGTAACAATAGCTAAACAAATAGAGATATCTATTAGTGAAAATACCAATACACTAAATATTTTTTGGTAGGATTTTGATCTGATAATGATAACTCCCCTTCACAAACATGCTGCAAGTTCAAGGAGTAACAGAAGTAAGTGTTGCTGATGTGTGCATGAAGAGCGTTTAGTCAAGGATGTATAAAAGTGGAGGATACCAACAGGGGAACCACAGACTAACCTCTGGAGTGGTAGTCTGCCGCTGGGCTGCTGATGGGCACTTTCTTAACAGCTGACGAGCGATAGATGATGTGTGTCCTCCCTCCTCCGCCGTCCTCCTCCTTTTCTATTACTCCATCGCCCCTTTCCACCGGTTCAATAAAGAACTCTTCTTTCTCTGTCCTGATCAGACCAGCCTGAAAGAGACATTTGATGACATCAACATAAGCAAACTCTGAACTTTGACAAAAGATATCAGCAGCTCATGTACCATGTTTGACACTCTTCTGACATCCCTCACCTATCCAACACATTACAGACAAAAATAGCCCTTTGCCTAATCCTGTTGCTATGTTTGGGTCATGCTGAAAGGAAAGAAAAAAAGATGGAAGATATGTGATGTCTTGTGGGTCCCCTGTGAAGGTCTAGAGTGACACCTGGCATCTACAATGACCAGCACACAAGAATGAGATGAGACTATCACACTCCAATCTTCAAGTAACACCTCTTGTCAGGTAATTCCCCTTTTTTGCTTTTCACAGGCATATCAGTCACCTACAAACTTGCAGGAAGTTGGTGAAAAGGACCCAAGAAAGAGTAGGAAAAGACAGAAAGAAATGAGGAAGTGTGCATAGAGAACATGGGCAAAAAGGCAAAGCGTGCACATATATGGGGAAAGCAGACTCCGGGAAAATTGCCCGTCACTCTCTCTTATTCCATCTGTCTATTTAAGACAACTCGTAATTACCAAGGCAACACACTGCTGTAGAGGGAAGTCATGGGGGAGATCACACTGTGGATTGAGAGGCTTTTTGAAAAGAAGACAGGAAAAATAAGACAGGGACTAATAAAAGAAAAAAGAGAAAACATCAATATGATCAGCATTTTACTTATCCTCCTCTGCTTTGACGCATAAGAGATTATATGCAAGTTAAAAAAAAAACAAAATTAGTTAAAAGAAGAAAATTCAGAATGCATTTAAGTGGAAAAAGCATTCAAAGGTGCCTTTATGCTGTAGCATGCATAGCAACATGTAGTCCACCCAAATTTAAGAACTTAAATATCATATGGTAAAGAAAAACTACATTTTGCTGTTAAGAAAAAAGAAAATCACAATGTTTTTGTTTATAGTCCTGGAATAATGTTTAAGGATAGTAAGCAGGTCAACTTATTGTTTAGTTTTTTGTTTTCTTTTTGAGTGATTATTTATCCAAGTTTTAAGGCATCCCACATCAGATCCAGCAAATCTGATGGATCTGTTATTGTTTCTTTCAGTAATTCATGCATTTCCTTTTGTATGTATTTTGTATTCCTTTTTTTGTATATATATATATATATATATATATATATATATATATATATATATATATATATATATATATATATATATATATATATATATAAACATATGCACCCCTGGTCTCTTACTTGCTTATTCTGTGGGCTTGATAGAGCACACACACTACAGTTGCCATTAAAGCTGGATTAAACCTTCCTGACATAACCAAGACCGAAGATCGCAGGAACATGAAGGATTATAAGTACTTTAATTTTCCGCAATTCAAGTATAGATGAAAGGACGTGTCTCTCATTCTTTTATATGACTGATCTACTGTCTCTAAGGAATGTAACCCTTTCATAAGAATGTGAATCCTTCTTTTGCTTAAAAAACGTTATCATGTAGAAACATTTATTGTGGTTTGGTTAATGATTAATTAATAATCAGACATACTTTAATTGCAGTCATAAATTAACATTGTTCACTTTTGTTGAATACACTCATTATTAAAAAGCTATCACTATATATGTGTGTATGTATTAGGGGAGTGGCGGCCTAGTGGTTAGGGCATATAGCTTGGAATCCTGTGGTTCTGAGTTTGAGCCCCACTCCCACAGACTGCCCCTCTGGGTCTCCCTCACAGCTCCTCAGGCGCCCCCTGATGGCAGCCCACTGCTTAAATGCGGAGGTAAATTTCTCCAATGTGCGATCAATATGATTATATGATTACAGATTGTATGACAGTATTTATATATATATATATATATATATATATATATATATATATATATATATATATATATATATATATAAATACTGTATATATACTGTATATTACTCTTAATGAACGTGAACGACAGCGATGTTCACTCTGAGAATAATGAGCGACACACACAGTTGACATGCGCCTATATTGGATACCGTCAGATTTACGGCAATTATTACCGCAAACAGCACGAAAGACCAGCATGTTTACTGCTAGTAGTGGTGTGCGAGATTCCGACTCATCTACTGGTATTTCTGATGCCAGTTTTGCAGCCGGCAGAGTTACATGAACTAATAATGGAAGAATCGAACAGAAAACACTCACATTTTTGTGCAAACTATGACCACCGGGACTTAGCAACCAAGTCCTTACATAAGCTACTTCCACTTAAAGCTCGAGCTAAAGCATCTTGGAAAATACCTGCTACCGAATGAGGAACGTAAGAAATCCTTTTTGATTCAGATCTTTTCAGCAGAACTTGAACCATTTCTATGTTTCTGAATTTCTGTGTAATTTGGCTAAATAAAAGGTTCGAATATCTTCCATTTCTTTCTATATTTTATGATCACACATTTACAGACTAAAATATAAGGTTATAATAAGGAGGATTGTGGCTCAATTTACCTAATGAACTCAAACTCATACTAATTTATACGTTTGGGAACTTTTTTTTATTTCTATTTATCTTATTTTTTGTACACTACAAAAAGAGCTAGTTGTTTTTCATCGGTGTGGCATGAACTTTTATCTTTTTATTTATTATGAACAGGCACAACATTGTATAACATTTCCAGTCGGGGGAACATGGAGTGTTACCAGGCCAGCAGGGAGGCATTGTCCTTTTTCCATCTCCTGGGCCTCCTTCTGTTGGGATGAGCCTGGAACATCTCCATCAGGAAACGTCCTGGGGACATTCATTTTAGAACTAACTTAGCCATCATCCTTTTTCTAAGGGATTTCCCATTTCCATGTGGACAAAGCTTTTATCAGCTGGTTGTTTACTTTTTTAATTTAACCTTTATTTTACCAGGAAGTCGCTTGAGATAAAATCTCTTTTTCGAGGGAGACCTGGTTGTATCTGGGATGTTGTTCTTTCTGTCATGATCCAGCTTGCATGACAATAGGTGAGGGTAGGAATGGAGATCGACTACTAAATTTAGAGCTTTGCCTTTTTTGTCTCAACTCCATCTTCACCTGAACACAACAGTGCATCGTCCGCATTATAGCATTCCTTCTCCCCTCACTCATAAAGTGGACCACAAGATACTTAAATTCCTCAACTAGACGCAGAAACTCTCTTCTGACCTAAAGGGGTCACGCCTCCTTTTTCAAAATTGAAAACCATGGTCTGTTACTTAGAGGAGCTGATCCTCATCATCTACGCACTTGACTGTGAACCACCCCAATGCATGATGGTTCTAAGGTTACAGTTTACATTTTCAAAACTTTATAAGCTTTATCCATTATCAAGTGATTATTTTAAGTTTGAATATGATATAATCACAATATATATTTACTTTATTTTTGTCTACCTTTTTTCTTCTTTTTGCTTTCCTCCAGTGGTATGATTGGGTCCCGGTAAGCAATTGACAAACCACTGACCTCTACTCCAGTAACCCCAACCCCCAAACAGAGACACATCACTTTTATTTCACCAAGCCTTTCTTCCTTCTGTTCACATCTTGCTATTTTATAGAGCCATGGTGAGGCATCACTATCAGATCATCTGATGGATCTGAGATGGTGCATGCATTCCAACTCCTGAATACCAAGCAGCCAGCAGAGAAGAGCCGCGTCAAAGAAAAAAGATGACATGTGGGACCAAGAGACATGGCTGTATCGATCAGAGGAGGCAGAGTGGGGGCAGGGCGGGGGTTAGAGAAAGAGGAACTGGGAGGAAGAAAAGGAACCGGGCATGTTCTTTTGAAAAACTTGACTTGAATAAAGCATCAAAGGCTGTGAGCACATTTCCATGGTACGAAGTATGGTCTTCATCTTTTCTAAAAACAGCAGCAGACAAGTTTGAGACGAGGGGATCATGAAATGTGCGTCCAGACACTGGGTCCTGAGAAGTAAGAGGATATTGACTATTTAATTTGACTGATTGGCAGAACAGAAAAAAACAACACTATCACAGCACAAAACATAAGGCGTAATGAGGACAAAACAGCAGGCCACATTTCAAGGGAAGATAGGTTGTGCTTGATATTGAGGAATAAAAGGAGAAAACCTGGAGTTTTAAATGAAGTCTGAGGTGGTTCAACAGTCTATTGGCCTGAAGGGACTGTATATAAATACAAGTTTTAAAACCATACTTTCAAAACCAGTTATCACTCTCCCTTTACTTAATAATAGTTCACGGCTTCACGATTTTCTATCCAATAAAATAGCATTACAATTCTTTGAAGTGAATACTCAGGTAATAAACTATAATGGATATGTTTATGATTTAATTATTTGACGTCTATAAGTGTTATATATCTATATTCTCACATAAAGTGCCAAGTTCTCAAATATTCAAAAAATACATGTTTAACGCTGATCTTGTGTGCCAAGTGGTTTTTCCTCTGCTGATATGATTTTTTTTCTTTAATTTTAAAATTTAAGTTTAATCAATCTTTAACTGTGCTCCCTTCTCTGAGAAATGATACAGCTTCAGATGTTTCCAACTGCTGCTCTCTTATTACACTAAATTCATTGTGCTCCTCTGGGTGATGAATCGAGAAATGTTTTATTAAGTTTGACATGTTAAGATGTAGCTTATTAGCTTCATTCCCCTCATGAGCCACTAAATTCTAACACAATCAGTCTCTACACTATATCTTCATCTAAAAGCATTTTGTAAGACTAGTTTATGAATATATTACTTCCAGGCTGAAATGTAATTCCTTGCAATCAAAAGGTTTCTGTAACTGATATAAAACGTTGCAATAAAATTACAGAGAGGAAGAGATTTCCCATGATGTTCTTCTTGTTAGTATCCATGTTTTTTTTTTCCTCCTCACTCACAAAGCCCCCTTTATAAAAAAAACATATTACAAAAGAAAAGGGTATCTATTTTTCAGTGCCTACTGGGCTGGTTATACAGTGTGTCACTGTTAGCTTGTCACAATTTTTTTATTTATTTATGCCCAATATTGAAGCGTGGTCTG